GAATCGACTGCACTTTGAATGATGCAAATCGGCCGAGCCGTTTTCGAGAAACATTTGTATCGTTAATGAGTCACGCGTGGAGGTTTATATTTGCTGGACTCCACGAACTCCGTGCTTGTAGGTTTTAAGTGTCGAAGTCATCAGGCTTGGCCGGCCGTCATCACAGCACCGTGACGGGTAGCACTGCAAGAGGGAGCTCTGGCCCTGTATGGAAAGGAGTCTGACTCTCCGTGCTATCGTCCTGGAGGCTGCACCGCAAGAAGGGTGGAATCGGCCCTGTATGGAGAGGAGTCCGCTGCCCCGGTGCCGCCGCCAGTCGTGACATCTCAAGACGGCCTTTGATTGAAAACATGAACGTTCTTAGTTAGGTTGTCGAGCCCTCAGCTGTTTTCCTAACTACTCGCCAAATGGGGAATCGTTCCACTGGATTGGTACCTACGGAGATCCTTCTTTTTGTTTTTGCTTTTGGGGTGGCCACACGCCTCTCATTTTTAAAGAGAGGGGAAGTTGTAATGTTAGAGTCAAGTAAAGTATTTGATCAGCAACGCTGACATTCTCATCAGTTGGTCTCTAGCGCCAGCTAGCCTCACACCAGGATCTCCGCGGGATTGTTTGAAAGCAGCGAGCGCCACTGCGCGTAGCAACAGAGCTCAGTCGTTGTGCAGTCTCGGTCGAGTGTGGTTGGTTTGTCCGCTGCTGTACCGTTCCTGCTAGACCCCAATAAATCTACTGATCCAGTACTCCTGTTGTTTCCTTTACTCAGTCTACCCGACGCTACAATATGTAATAATTCCAAACTCTGGGCGTAGATTTTCAATTTCATGTACAAGGACACTTCCATAAATGGTACCAAATATGGATACAGACTTGGCAACAGTCACTTTAAGTGCAGGATTGTCATGAAATAATTGGAAAAACTCCTCATATTTATCTACTGTATTCAGAGAGCAATGCCTAACTCCAAAAAGTTGAAAAGATTGATTAAAAACATTGTCTGTGCACAGGAGCCTTTCAGCTAGAAATAGTTGATTATTGATTGCAGCTGAATGAGCATAATTAATCCTAGAATTAAATGACTTTGCATGTAGTTTTCCTCTTCTGTGATTTCGTTCACTCATGAGGGTAGATAACTGCATCTGAGGCCCGTTACGCCTTAAGAGGGAAGGATAGTGGACACACATATGGTGTTTTGGTTTCAATCTTCCAAAATATAGTAAATATAGTCGATGATGTTCTTCAATTACTGTAGCAAGGAATTCTTCCATACCATGTTCAAAAATCGGACTTGTCAAAATGTCAACAATTTCACGTAATAACAAGTAGAAATTCCATATACAGTAGTTTTCAGGGACTAGATCTCCTACCATTGGACCCAGGTATCGAGTAAGGCAAAGCATCTCAGATCCGGACATATTTAGTAGGGTGTATCGAATACAGGGTTTTCTTCCGTTTGGACGTAGCTCTTTTAGTTTTCGAGATATTGGTCGATTTAAGCCAATTTATGCCTTTAAAAAATATCCCCCCAAAATGGATTAAATCGACCAATATCTCGAAAACTAAAAGAGCTACGTCCAAACGGACGTACCGTCTTCACGTCGGTCTCACGGACGCGAACGTAACTGCAGGGACCCACGACTCTGCGGCCTTCGAGATGAAGGTTGAGCCAAGGTAGGACGCTTTGGGTGGGGTCGCTCCCCCCCCCCCCCTCAGTTTGGCGACAGGGCAGGTTGAACTTGGGGGTAGTTTTTGAACGATTTTCCACTTTATCGAGACTGTACGTGAAACAGTTGGTCCGATCGACTTGAAAGTTTGAGGGAAGCTTCCTTGGGGTGTTCTTTAACAGATCCGCACAGACCCAAACCTCCATCCCCTCTGAAAGGGGTGCACAGTCACTCGGGGGTAGCTACCCCCTGGGAAGGGATTGAAGATGTTGACACCGGGTTTCTCTGTATGGATGCGTTCCTAATGGCAAAAGGGATCATTCCTGAAAGTTTCATGCCGAAACTTCAACCCTAAGGTTCCAAAATGGCCGATATTAAAAAAGGGGTTGCGTGTTTGCGGGAGTGGTTTGGCCGGGGGTTGTCCGATTCGAAAACAAACACATGGGCCGTGTGCAGGGGACGTCCCCAGAGGATACCGAGCTCGATTTGATGAACCTCAAAACTCACCCCCTCGAGGGGGTGGGGGTGAGTGTGGAAGGGAGTGGGTTGGTCCGATCGCAATTTTGTTTACACCGTTCGAAAGAGAACAACAATTTGAGTTGACTCACGAAAAATCTTGACTTTCCGAGCACTTAAAGTGCCAATTTTTGAGTTGTTACGGCCGGTTTTTTCACCCACCTCCACTCTAGGGGGTGCACAGCTCGTTCGGGGTGGCCAACGGCTTGCGCACTTCCTGAGCCTCTAGATAAATGATTGGGACGCCTGCATGCCAATTCTTAGCTTCCTTACTCAAAAAAACATAGAATCTACGTCAGTTTGAAAAATCCGCCAGCTAATTTTGATGAGCAGTGTATTATAGTCCCACTTAATTTGAAACTTTGACTGTCGTTGTGTTGCATAAGTGATTAAAGTTTTTGTTTTTCACATTTTTCTAGCCAAACAGCAGAGTTTGTTATCCCCGAATGGCGGGCATTCACCAAATTCACCAAAACTGGTACAATCATGTGAAACAATGACTCACAGATCAGCAGGCTGTGATCAGAAGGGTAAACTCCATAGTAAGACTACCTAAGTTATATTAACTGTACTGTACATACTCTTAAAAAGCACTTAATAATCTTTTATAGTAGATAGGTTGATAATATCGGGAAAGCCAGAGCAGTGGAAGTCAATTCAATTTATCTCAGGAGCCATTACATACACCACCTTTCACTGAGATTGAAGGTTCAGATATTCATACAGGTAAGTCTTTTAGGGGGATAAAAGCCTCTTTAAGGTGCTCAAAGCATTCACTGTCCAAGCCACTTTCAAAATTCATTTTTTCTTTCAGGGGAGATGACTGACTTTTTCTCTCCTGATGAAGATGAGAGTTATCAAAGGACTGTATTGAAGGAGGTGAGCCCACATCAAAGATCTTCTACACTTAGCCTACTACTTATCAAATCTCAAGCAGCAATAATCTATTTCAAAAGCCAACTAATGAGGCTTCTCAACGGCCTTTTATGAGGGAGTTGGGCCCACGTCATAGATCTACTCCACTGGTGGAGTCTCTGCCAGCTGCTCATCAAAACTCAAGGAGCAATAAGCCTGCTGCATCAACTTGTATGTTCATAGTTCTTAGAGGGAAAATTACTTGCAGTTGTGTTCTACCTACACTTTAACTATGGTCACTAAAACTAATTACTAGCTATATGTACGCCAGACCACGTCTCGCGTAACAGGCTTCGCGATATCTCACGAAACACTGTTACGCTGCGACGCGCCTGGCGCACATATAGCTAGGCCTGCGGCGCTGACACCCGAGACGGGTAGCGCAAGTATGAACACAAAGATACGGGCCTCCGGCCCCCGTCACTTTGACTAAGCATGCAGGGTTGTACATTTTTTCACTTATTTTCGTCAAAAACTCCATGTGGCGCCTAAACGGTTAATGATAGAGCCAAACGGACGAAATTTTCGCCCAAAGGGCTCTACTTTCATGAGTTACCCCTTAGGAGACTGTAAAAAATATTTTTAAAAAACATTATATGGGGGACCTGTGGTTTTTGATTTTTTAAAAATCCAATTTTTGAGCTAGAATGCTCTTCTTCGAACTCGATCTCTCTTTTTATGATACAAAACGACCCTGAAAATCCCACGTCGCTAGCTCAATTCGTTCTCGAGTTATCGTGCGTACAGACAAACAAACAAACACACACACAAACAGACGCGAAACTTTTTGATCATCACTGGAGTAATAGGCTTCGCTATCGCTCAGCCAACAATTTTCAATAATTGTAATTGTACGATTAAAAAAAATGTTCCTGGACCCGGTAATTCAATTTTTCAGAGTCAAGAATTACAAATCCCCTGCATACAACAGAATGAATTTATGTATTTGTCTTACAGCCGATTTACTATTTAGCACGGCAAAAAAATCACTGATTGTTGTCAAACTGTTATACATGACACCCATGACACCGCTCCCACAACGAGGCTCTCTGAAGGAGCAGCGCATTGCCTATTTCTCAAACACGGTGAGATCGACGGCTTGATCTCGCTCGCGGCACTGTCTACAGTCGGTTAGGCCTATCACTCGGATTCCCGCTGTAGCGCTTGTGACCCGTAGCGGTTGCGAGCTATAGCGCTTGTGAGCCGTAGCGCTTGCGAACCGTAGCGCCCACCGCTGTAGTGCTTGTGACCCGTAGCGCTTGCGATCTGTAGCGCTAGCGAGCGGCTCCGAAAATCGACATCTTTAGTTCTTATTATTCATGGAAATTTTTTTGTACTGATGTGGAGCTATTTTCCTGTTTTGTAATAAATAAATGATTTGGTCAAGCAATATCACTGTGCATATTTGTTTTGAAACATTCCTCATAATTATAATTGATCTCCTGCTATCTAAAAATAACTGTATGGAGAGTATACTGCAACCTTTTTGTGATGTTTTTGAAAGTGACATCAATTGACATCATTTTGAGCTCAAAAATACATTTTCTTGACTGTATGAAAATACGTCATTTTGACGAACTGAAATGTGACAAGTATTTGATGTCACTTGACGTCAAGATGATATTTTTCTGTCCTTTGGGCAACGGCCAGAGTTCTTCCGAATCCCTCATACACGACTCGACCTACGCGTCGATCTCGCCCGTCCCGTCTAGCCGTGGCAAGCCGCTTGCGCGTAAGCTGCGCCTCGCTCTTGTGGCGGCTTCCGACACTTCGCGCTTGCGGTCGTTCGCTTTTGCGGCGTTCGCGCTTGCGCCGGGTCGCGCTTGCAGCATTCGCGCTTACGACGAGTCGCGCTTGTGACAGTTCGCTCTTACGGTGCGCGCCCGATCACTCTAGTGATATAGAAGTCTGATCGTGAGAAGAAGTCTGATAGTAAGAGGAAGTCTGATAGTGGGAAGATGTCTGATAGTGAGAAGATGTATCACAGCAAACATTTTCCCGGGGACTTCCCGGTTCATTCCGGAAAGTACTTTACCGATCACCCTCATGCCCGGCAATTGCGTAAAGTTCCCCAAATTTTCGTAAACTTTCCGATTTCCTGAAAGTCGATATGAATCAATCCATTACTGGGGTGCCGATCAAGATCAAGCGGGTGTAACTGCAGGTTTGTTGTTGTAAACGTACGCGTACTGACTGACACGAACAACAACGCTATCTACTGTCGATCCCAGTTTGGTTCACTTGCTACTCGCCACCTCCGGAGTCAGGAGTGTGGTGTGGTGTCGACTTGGTGGCTGTGAGTCGTAGTCGTGTAGTTTTAGGTTATTGTTAGACGGTGTTGCATAGGTCGAAAGTATATTTTTGGCATGTGAACCACGTCAAAAACTAAATGGTTGAGGTTGGTTGTCATCTCATACAAACTCGCAAAGTACATTGTCAATGTGGTGTCTGTTATCTATGCAATCAGCTGTTTCACAGGGTTCTGGTGCTGGCTGGGTCGGGGTCCACTTTCTAATTTTCATTACATTGGTGGTGTAGCGGATTACATTCGTGTACTTTTATTTTGAAGTGTTGTGTGGTGCTCCTTCAAAATTGTTATTTCATGTGGTAAGTCACCTCAACAATTTCAATTGTACATTATTTGCACAGCGTAAAATTTCTCATATACTCTTTTATCTTTACCAGGCCACTTCTTCAAACTTCAAATTTCATTTTGACATAGTGTGTTATTTTTCGAAAGAGGACTATTGGTCATAGTTTGCCAGTTTGAATAACGATTGATGGAGAATGTACGTATTTAAGTCACAAAATGCTGAACGATCGGACTGTAATGAGTCTATTTTGAATTGGTGCTATAACCAAAGTCATTCAAAATTACATCTCTGCTCTAATGCTGCTCGTTGTTTGAGGTTAGTATTAGGTTAGTGTTTCCCACAGTTGTAAAATTTTTGCATCTTAATGTGATCTTTTATTAACAGTGTCATGATTCGAAATGCTTTTAATCTAATAAATCATAACCTAACGCATTAGTGTGTTCCATAACTAAATTGTATCTGATCGTTTCAATGTGTTATTTTATGTGTCACTTAGTTCAATGTGTAATTTGCATGTTATCAGGTCAGAGTGTTTCAGAGAAAGACTATTTAGCCAGTGGACGGATTTGTCATTCATCGTCTTCAAAGATGATACTTGGAAACTACATCAAGCTAATTTTTGTTCGCTGACCAGGAATGAATACTCACATGCTCGGATATAAAGGATAGTAAAAGGTAGCCTATTAAGGATACTCTTGTGAGATATCATTAATTTTTAATTTTTATTCTTTCAGGTTATTCTAACAAGGGTGCCACTCAAAAGCAGAGCTCTGACCAAATGATGGGATGCGACAGTCTTTTAGTTGACTGGACTCGGAAACATTCTAGCGAAACAATGTAAGATTGACAAACAGCATACTATTTTGATTTTACTCTTAAATATGGAGGGAAGTGAGAGTAAATTATCTGTGTTGTATTCCAATTGAACACAATGATATAATATTTTCTGTTTGTCCTCAGGTTACTTTATTATCAAGTTCTGTATCACTGTGATCTCCACTGAAGTTGATATAATTTTGTTTTTGTTATATGCCCAATGGGTTTTAAAACATAAAGACAATTTTAGAGATTTAGTATGTCCCATGCATACTATATAGAAGTGATTAGTCAAGGGAAGTATGACCATGCTGCTGTATGCACTGCTCTCTTTAATGACAAGCTTTTTAAGAAATATTATGATTTGTTTTGTTGTCAGACCGTTACAAGAAGTGAGACGAACATTCTTTCCCTGACCAGGAAGGAATGAAGAGCAGTTTTCCAGGAATTCTGTTTTCAGTAGTAGTAATTCTTTGTATAATTATTGAGAGAATTATTGAACTTTGGAAATTATGTTATGATTAATTAATGGTTTGTATGTGGTGTAGGTTAAAACATAGTAAAAGGTTTGCAAGGGGTTATTGATGGATCCATATCACAACATGTCTTATTGTAATATGTTAGTGTTCTAGTTATTACCTTGTAGTTTCTCAAATCATCAGCAATGTAGATCTTTTGAATTGAGGTGGGGATTATAGTGAGAATGTGAGTTTACTGCAAAGTGTTCAAAGTTGCTGAATTTTAGCATCTTGTTGCGTTTCTATTATTTAATGAATGTTCAAAGTGTGGGATCATTTAGTGGATGTACGAATAGTTGTGGTTTTAATAATTCTATTCTTTTATAATTTCATTTCTTTTGAACTCCACACTAAACCGTTCTCTGTAATTTCTTCTTTAAAATGTTGCATTTATATTTGCTGGATGATGCATTTATGCTTTGTTTATTAAAGACGTTAGTTTTGAGTTTTCACAATTTTTTTGTTTCAGTATCATGGATATTTCAAGACTTACCATTGATGAACTGAAGGACTACCTTCAAACTTTGAATCGACTTAAGCCACAGACTCTTCAAAATCTACAAGGTCAGTGATGGAGGACTTGGGCAGCGACAGTGACAATGACAATCATGAAGAGCAGATGCTTGCTCAGTTTCATTGGGCTCATGGCAAAATTGATGAGAGACACCACGCAGCAGATATGATTATTAACTGTAGGCAAAGTTGTACAATGACAAGGGCAGGTGTGCGTACTGCTATGGACAATTGTGAGTTAATGCTAGAAGCTCGAACTGAAAATTTAAAACGTAAAGTGGAAGACTTCTTAAATCAGAACAACTATATGAATAATCCTCTGTCAGCTCGTTTGCTTAACAACTTTGAGTGTGAGAGTCCATTCAAAAATTTCAAGAGTAACTCTGGCCAGAAGAGTGCAGTAAAGTCTTATTACCATTACATTGAGCCAGTTCCAGGATTTCTTGGTTATCGGATAGAGCCCATAAATGTTGGAGGGAATATTTTTAGGCAACGGCCAGTAAGAGAAACGTTTCACTTTGTTTCTATAAAAGAAATTTTGAAAATGGTGTCTCGAAAACAATCAGTCCTTGATTACATTCATAATTTACGGCCTCGTGAAGATGATCTTTTAACCAGTTATACTGATGGCAACAGTTTTGCTAACCACCCATATTTTCAAAGATTTCCTGATGCCTTTCAGATAGGCTTGTACTTCGATGATTGTGAAACTACTAGTAGCAATGGTTCAAAAACTGGTCCCCATAACATGGCTTGTTTTTATGTGAAAATCTTAAATGCTCCTCCTTATATTAACTCTCACCTTGCTGGAACCCATGTTGTTGCTTTGGCACATACGCAAGATGTTAAAACATATGGTTTCAGACCAATTCTCCAACCCCTCATTGATGACCTGCTAGAACTGGAAAGTGAGAATGGTGTAGTAGACTATATTGGAGACCAAAGAATAGTTCTGAGAGGTGCTTTAGCTGCTGTTCTGGGCGACAGTAAGGCAGTCCATGAGATTCTGGGGTTTTTGCTACCATCGGCTCGGCACTTCTGTAGGTTGTGCACCATATCTAGACGGCAGCTTCATGCTAGAAATGTAATATTTGGTGAACGCAGAACAGAAGCTATGCATAATCATCATGTGGAGGAAGCGGAATTGAATCCTGCGAATTCAACCCTCAGTGGTGTTAAGGAAAATTCGTGCCTTCACGACCTACAATATTTTCACTCTTCAAAAAATATTGTGTTGGACAGCCAACATGACATAGCCCATGGTATAGGAGAAATGGAAATCAAACTGGTTCTAAATTATTATGTATCCACAAGGCATTTATTTACAGCAGCTGATTTAAACACTGAAGTAAAAACTTTCCTTTATGGTAGACCAGACGTACCTAATGAGCCGTCTAATAATTTCAGTCCTGAAGGCTTAGCTGCTGTTAATCAGAGGTCATTTAAATTAGCGCAAACAAGTGCACAGATTTTCTGCCTCATGAGAGTCCTTATATTTTTATTGGATATCCTTGGCATTCCAATCGAGGATAGAGAACATTTGGACCTCATTATCTTATTACAAAAGATTGTCCAAATTATAAAAGCTCCAAAGGTGAGCAGGAGTATTCTTCCTTACTTAAGGCGCTTGATAGAAAGTCATAGACGAATGTTTCACCATCTCTTCCCCGGTGTCAACCCTATCAACAAGCATCATCATTTAGAACATTATGTGGATGTTATTGAAGAAATGGGTCCTTCAGAGCAATTTAGTTGTATGAGGCAGGAGGCAAAACATCGTCCACTGAAAAGGCATATTGTTGCTTGCAATTCATATCGATCTGTGACAAAAACTGCCTCTGATTATGAGCAAATTTCACAAGCCATTCATTGGGGTTCAAATGTACCTCACATTGTACCCAAATTTGTGCTATCTAAAAAGAAGACTCCATGCGCTGTAAATGATTGCTACACAAGAAGAATATTAATAGAAAGAGGATTTCGTGCAGATGAGTTTCTTAATACAGTTGAGACAGTTGCTGTGTTCGGTAGAGATTTCTATATAAATGATTTTGTAGTAGTCAGAGTGGCTGCCCAAAATAATAACGACATGGAGTCTTTTGGGAAAATAAAAAGGATAATTTCAGCCAATAATGAAACAGATGTTTGGTTCGAAATAGAAGAATGGAGGACTGAATATGAATCTGAAAGTTTTAATTCCCTGATAATTTCTCAACCTGACAATGCAGTTCATCATTTACTGGACCCTCTTGATTTACCGCTTCACCCACCTCTGGCAGTTTGGCATGACCGCTACATGAACAAACATTTGTGCCTCCGTCATTTAGTTTTGTAACTGACGAGTATATTGGATGGTACGGATGCTCACTTCCTTTCCAGACTAATACTAAGGTTACCTAGGGAAAAAATGAGTTTACTGGCAACTTTATATTAAAGTTACTATCATATTTTTCTCTGTTACAGATGAGGAGGTGGATGGGGAGGCCTTTCTACTAATTAATGAGGCCAATCTCCAAAAGAATTTCTCTGATATTAAGGCGGGTGAGAGATTCAAAGTACTCCAACTGGTTGAAGAGTTTAAAAGGGCTCTCCCACAGAGTAATGATGAACAGGTAAAAATTATTTTAGTTTTTGAATGAAAAGTAAAACTAATGTTGCAAAAATGTCTTTCTAATTGAGATGTTATCTTTGCTTTTCATTCTGCAGTCATCATCATCACAATTGGACGACTCAGCATCATCATCATTTGATCCACTCCCAGTCGAAATAGTCTTTGTTGAATCCAATGAATGCACTGCTCCAATGGTCAGTACTTCCGTAAGGAAAACTGTGGAATCTCCTCCTCCCTCTGAGACTCCCTCGACTTCAGCTGTTGTAAGTGTTATATTTAGTCTAATTTATTTATTGGTACAATTAACTTTTTATTTTCTTGAACTTGTTCCTTTTTTTATTTTCAGGAGCAGGTAATGGATGTGAAGGACATTTTGATGCAATCAGCAGAGGGGTTCAGGGTTGTGGAAAACATTCAAAAGAATCGTTGGCCAGATGATCGACATAGGAAGAAGATGATATCTATTCTTACTGACTATCATGTTAAAAGCACTGGAGCAAACAGGGATAGCTAGTAAGTTTTTCCAGCTGCTAGAGACACGGTTTATGGCTGCACCTTACTAAAGATCGATGCTCCTCTTATTGCAGTTATCCTAATCCAATTGACAAACTTATGATGGCAAAGGGCATAATTAGGGACTTCCCCACCCTTGCGGATAATGGGAATGGCGAGGGATATGTGAGTGAATTCATAAATTATTTCGTATTCAATGTTTAATTAAATGCTATTTTCTCTTCTAGTTATTACTCAGATATTAGAGATTTAATCATTAATCTATAAAATGTATGGTTGCAGCTTGCCTGGTATGACCCCTCATCTTGCAAGGGATTCTTAGGCAAGAAGTTTGAGTACTTGAGGGAAAAACATTTAAAGCCTACAGAAAAACGGAAAATACCAAAGGATAAAAAGAAGAGCCATGCCAGTAGCACTACTTCCTCAACCATGTTATCAGACCATGACAATGAGGACTCACCTTCCAAGAGGTCAAAAACTGATGAAAATTATGATGACATGGTAAGGCAAGCTCATTTACTTGCATGTTTTTTAAAAGCGTTCAAGCCTGTGAACCAATGTGTTGTGTTCTTCAGTGTCATTATTGCCTAAACTCCATAACTTCTACTGCTATTTTATCATTTTAATTGGTTGTTACACATTGGTTCTTTAAAGTAACGTCCACTTTTAAGTATTTCCTTGTATGTGAGGCCTTATTCATGTGCATTTTTTACATATCTATATGTAAAACTTAACAAATTGCTTAGTTTTCACTGCATTTCACTCTGTAAAGACCCAAGAGTGTTAAATTATTATTTCTTTTGCCATCAGGTGAAAAAGTTAAGTAGAATGGAGGCAACATCTGGAAGTAAAAACATTATCAGCAGTTTAATGGAGGGGACGTTCTCAGAACGACATAAATGGATGAATCAACGTCCAAAGCCATCAGGCGCCCAGATTCTAACCAAATTTATCCATTTCAAAAGTTATGGCGGCCTCATGGTGAGCAATTCTTGGTTTGGAATAATAACCTGTTCTCTTAGTGTCTATAATTCACATATGTTTTGTTCAAATTTTAAACATATCATTTTTCCTACGAAGATTACTGAAGAATTTCAAAGACTTCACCCAAAGGCAGTGGCCTTTGATCTTACTGACATAGTCAATGCTGTACTACAGCATTCAAAATCAACCAAGAAGAAATTGTATGAAGATAGCAGCTGCTTACAGAATGGTAATGATGGTTCAGTAATTAATTTGCTGTGTACAGAGAAACTTTTGTTTTTTTACTCATAGTATACTACAATATTTCAGACTCTCTTCATGCACTCCAACTAATTTTTGATATATTGCCATCTGTACCAGTTAAAAGGTCAAAAGAAATGCCTGTAACTACTGAGGAAACTAATAACAAATTTTGGATAGCATCAAAGCCTTGCGCAGCACTTGTCCAAATTGTTCCAGTAAGTGTAAAATGCCTAGCACCATTTCTACATTTCTATAACTTACTAAATTTGCATTTATTTTTTACAGGCTGGAACAGATGTGCAGGGTTATCAAAATAAGCTGCAGCCCATAAAGCCACCCTCAGATTCCAACAGCAAGCAGCTCATGTCAGCACCTTTTATGCTATGGCTCACTGATGATCAACTAACTGGGGAAATTTACATTCTTATTGATGGTCATTTCATTCATGTGGACGTGGACCCGCTTTCTGACCCATTTCCAAAAGCGTTTGATGTGTTCCTCAAGTTGTTTCATGTGTTGGCTGTTCACTACCACCCACAATTGAAATTCTTTTTCAATTTCTTTGAATTTGTCTATGGGTTAAACAATAAGCCAATTCCCTCTGTTCGAGCTTTAGTAGGTGCACTGCGTACTATTCAAATAGAGACAAACAATAATTAAATTGTTGTTCATTCTTGTTTACTATCTGTTACTGTTTTCCTCTTTTTATTAAGTTTGTTATTTTCAAAATAATCACTTTAAATAAAAAAAACAAAAAATGGTTCTCTCTCTAACTGTGTGCTTTATTTACTTTATTTTACAAAACATGGTTTACTTGAAACCTGAAAAAATGGCATGAGCGATGCATAGAATTGCATTGTTTAAACAGTCCCAGTTTCGCTACAAAATAGCTAACTACCTACATTTGTTCCTCCAACATAATATCCACTTTCAAGTATTGAACATTCAGAATAGCAACTGGTTTATTAGAGTCCGGTGTTGCACACTATCAAATTTATGGAAATCAATTTCTCGCTCAAATTTCTGCGTTAATTTGAACACTTGCATGCATTCATTTGTACAAATCATGCACTTTTGTGGACAAATTCGTACAAAACGCAGGGGTTAGACTTAGCACAATTGTTGGCTAAAAAGCATACAATAACATTTAGCATGTATATGAAACGTTACCTCAGATTGAAAAACAGCTAAGAAATGCATCTGTCAATTTTATTTTTGTAAATGATTCGCATGAATGTCATCCAATACTTACAAAAGTCTAAAAAATATAGGCTCCCTGTTTTGTACATCTTATTTATTTTTATTTATTATTATACTGATAGTGCTGCTAAGAATATACTAATCACTCATCACATGCCGAATCGCAATCTGTGTTATGTTTTATGCGCGTGCGCAACACCTGCTTTACGGAATTGTCCGGGAACTTCCCCGAAAAGTGTAATCGGTGAATTTTCCCGGAATGAACCGGGAAGTCCCCGGGAAAATGTTTGCTGTGTATGATAGTGAGAAGAAGACTGAGAGTGAGAAGAAGACTGATAATGAGAAGACTGGCAATGATGGCAAAGAGAACT